ACGGCCTCACCCTCCAGGAGTATCCGTGTAATAAAACGAAACTCCCTTGTCTTTGCTACATTTATTAGCAAAAGATATCAATGGGGTACTACAAATAAACCAGCGCACTGCTTTGCTCTGGTTTGGGCACGTTGCACGCTACTGTGCTACCAACTCGTGCTGTGATCAATTTTGATTCTATAATGGTATATATGTCGTGGTCTTGTTTGGTACTTTTCAATTGATGTTGTTCTTAAGTGCATGCATCTAAAATTTATCTCTACTGTCGTATAACTGCCGAGTACTTTGTACCGGTTTTGTTGTGTCATCGTGTGAAGTGGTCTGGAAACAATTTTTAAGATATTTTTCATTCGGTAAAGAATTTTAATGAGGGCGCATTTCACTGTAATCCCGTTCGAAATTTTTACAAATAGTCTCATTTTAAGAATTGCCGCATTTTAATTAAGAATTGGCCGCATTTTAATTAAGAATTGTCTGGCCAGCACTCAGGATTGACGGATTGAGAGCTCTTTCTCGATTCAGTGGACGGTGGTGCATGGCCGTTCTTAGTTGGTGGAGTGATCTGTCTGGTTAATTCCGATAACGAACGAGACTCTCCTCTGCTAAAATATCTGGGTTTGTTGACAACATGTTCTCATTAATACTGCAAGGCTTGACATGTTTTCCTCGAAAGCGTGTAAGAAACCATCCGTATCGTATCATATAGTGACCTAATTTGCTATCAATATTATCTCAAATTGAAAGTTGATTTTTCTTAATAGGCATGCAACAAAACTAAAATAAAGTAAATATATCAACTAGCATTTAGAGATAGAGTGAAATTAAATTACCACACGCACTCACTAACATGCACGTGTCAGCAACATCCACCGGTAGGTCTAAATAGGTTGGTCACCGACGCACCGCTTTAATTATGTTATGCGTATGAGGCAGAGGCTTGCAGTGGACGTAAGCGTTAATCATTTGAATTCATATTTTTAGCTACATAATGAACAATCATTCGGAATTATCACCTCAGAAATCCGGGATAAAATTCTAATATTGAAGATTCGAGACCAAATTACTATATTATATTTTTAGTGTCAGCGACTACATCGGCTACTGACTACTGTGAATTTGTTTTGATTGGATCATTGAAAATGCATTGATTTGGATAGTAAAAAATTTAGACTGCGATAAAAAAGTAATTAATTTAATCATTGTCGGTAAGAAAATTATTATCGGATAACGCATTCCAAAATTATTTTTCACTCCAAGTGTGGTTTTTACTACATGCACTGCGCTAGTAAACCTAAGACTGCACTAGTTAGCTTGTACTTTTCGTTGCTATAATCGCTGCACAGTTCACCACGTGAGCATCGCATTCTTCGAAGTTACCTTACTTGTGCTTGAGCTCAGTCATTCATGTGCTCCCTCAAAACTCCCCCATGAGCTCAGTCATGCAGTGGCTCCCTCAAAACTCCCCCATGAGCTCAGTCATGCAGTGGTTCCCCCCTAAACTCCCCCATGAGCTCAGTCATGCAGTGGCTCCCTCAAAACTCCCCCATGAGCTCAGTCATGCAGTGGCTCCCCTGAAACTCCCCCATGAGCTCAGTCATGCAGTGGCTCCCTCAAAACTCCCCCATGAGCTCAGTCATGCAGTGGCTCCCCCAAAACTCCCCCAAGAGCTCAGTCATGCAGTGGCTCCCCCAAAACTCCCCCTTGAGCTCAGTCATGCAGTGGATCCCCCCAAAACTCCCCCATGAACTCAGTCATGCAGTGGCTCCCCCAAAACTCCCCCATGAACTCAGTCATGCAGTGGCTCCCCCAAAACTCCCCCATGAGCTCAGTCATGCTGTGGCTCCCCCCAAAACTCCCCCATGAGCTCAGTCATGCAGTGGCTCCCCCAAAACTCCGCCTTGAGCTCAGTAATGCAGTGGTTCCCCCATAACTCCCCCATGAGCTCAGTCATGCAGTGGCTCCCCCAAAACTCTGGGTCTAGTGGGGGAGTCAACCAAACGACATAGAACTTCTGGTTTGGATTTAGATTTGGGGGCTAGGTTGATAGATTTTAAATATAATAATAGGAAATAATTTGAAGTTAAATACGTCGTCTGAAATCATATTTTAGTAATGGTAATTTTTCCTGTATGGTTTCGAACTTTTCAGCCGTGCTTTAGGTGGCGTAACGATCAAGTACGGACTACACCTCGGCACAATGCAATTGTACACACGTGTTCTATGAAATATATATGTGTGAAAATTCGGTGTGCTTTTTTATACGAACTGGACTCGCATGAGAATGCTCGAGTCACAGAGAGACATATTTCACCAGCAAGATGGTCAATTAATTGGCACAAATTACTTATCTTGACACAAGACCTCTGATATGATTTTATCTTTTACGATAGTTTGTTATTGGTCCGTCGAACGAATAGTTAATTTTTCGATGAGCGAAAAGTTTTGATTGGTCCATCTCGTAAATCGAGCTGCCGATTGATTTATTGCTTAATATACTGCGAAAGATTGTATGGTTGACCAACGACAGAAAATTTGCCAATAGATTAACTAGCCTTTGGTATTGTAAAGTAGATGTCGTAGTACGATTCAGTCCACGTGTCATCTAATCATTGTATATTTTGATTAATTTCGCTTGCTATTTGTCCCAATTAAAAAGTGTATTTTGATTCATTAAATTTAATTAAATTTGATTCATTAAATTAAAGTGTATTTTGATTCATTCCGTTTACCATTTGTCCCAATTAAAAAGATTTTCGGCACAGCTTCGTTTAGAACGAACTTATGATTGAAAATATGATGGAAATTGTATCAAGATGAGGACGTACAGTTCTACAAAATTTCAAAATTGTATAAAACTAAGGAGCAGAATGAGAACTTAACATCATTAACTAACTATGAAGAGCTTAACAGTTCAGCATAGACTCAAAGCAAATTCATTGCGAGTGAATGAAAAGAATACATGTTTTTACGATTAAAATTAAGCAGAAACTTTTGCATATATTCAAATGATTGATCACTTCACTGTCATCGGTTGTGTCATGCAATGAAATTTCGAAAAACAAAACCCAACCATCACACGTTCAATTACAAGTTTCGTTAAGGTTGAGTCACAGTGTCACACAAATTGAGGCGGAAAAAGTAAAAAAAAAAAACACAGATTATGCCTAACCAATAAACTTCACAAGAGGCTTACTACGAATCAACATGAGTGAAAAATTATTGCCATATCGTATTCATTTTGTACTCGTATTCGTATTGTACTTATTATTGATGGTTTATTATGATATTTTGTATTCTTGATGTCGAAATGTCAACAGCCCAAGGGATAAGCAGAGAGCAACTAATATGCAGAGTCAATTCTGGATTATGGTAATTGAGTTTCATTTATTCGTTTTTAGGAGAAAAATTTATCGACGACTAAAATCATACAATACTTTTTTTTCTACCAAAAAAGAGGTATCAAATAAGTAACACCAATAACGGCGATCTATGTAAGAAATTTGAAAAGGATCCCCGAGTTTTGCAAAATTCTGAATTTCGGTTGTACAGAGAATATTTGGTGCTCAATAGTTATTAGGTTTGCTTGTTTAACCCATTCATTTGATCAGTTCGAATGTATATTGTATATCACATCAACATAACATTAATTAACTGTTCCGTACTCACGACCCTCTCATAAACACATACTTCAGCCTCCGTAATCGAAATCTTTCAAAGTTGACCAAATCAGTTCTTGGACCGAAAATCAGCAAAAGTTTAATAAATGATAAAAAATAGATCAGTACTCTCTGCAGTGAGTGACAGCGAGCGCATTTTCTCTTCTCTGTCACGTGAAATCACGGACGGACGGACATGACGAGCACAATAGCGCCTTTTTCCATAAATGAGAAAATGCGCTAAAAATTTGGGAGTTGAACTCCCGTTCCAACCATCGCAAGTCAAGCTCTTCCATATAAGTTAATTTGCGATGAAAAAGAGATTTACGCTCAGTAGTTTTCTCAATTTTTCTTATTTTTAGTTGGGCAGAACGTATGTCCAAATAAGAAAAATATTTGTAGTAAACTTAACAAATAACAGTGCGAAAACACCTATACCCAACTCAAAAAATGAGTAATTGTAATGTATGAAAAAAAAACACACGTGTCTCCCACCTCGCACGTATTTTCGTTCTCCATCATGCACATGCAGTATGTCATGTCGAAGTTGATGATCTCGATTTTATCTCTATAAGAAAAATGTCTTGAAGGTTTCGCAAGTAGCAATTTGATTAACACTGACAAGCAAGCCAAGGCCTCAGATATTGAAGGTAGTGCAGAAGCTGGCCCTTATATACATTAACGGAAAGTAATTACGTTTCATTACCTAAGTAATTAACTTATTTAAATATATATTTAATTTACACGGTTCGTGGACTCTGAAAATGGACTTTATGCGATTGTGATTAAAAATTTAAAAACAAAGAATATGCTAAGGAAATTCGCCATTTGTTCAGTGAAATATTAATAACGTTTTAAATAGTAAGAAATGGTAGACCTGTCTGGCATTTTCTTTGCTGTTCAATTCTTGGAGAACTTTCGATGTATGCGGAGTGATGATATTAGTACCTATGAAAAAATTAGTAGTTTTCGTTTCAGCAATTAAAGCAAGACATACGACAACGAATATAGAACAAATTTTCTATTTCGCGAAGCTTTTCACAGATAATCTTAAATACCTTTGATGAAATCAGTCGAAGTTAATCATATCATCATGGAAATGATCCACAGACACGAAAAAATTATGATTGATGGACCTATAATTCCGATGCATTTCGTTCGTTCCATGCACTCATTTCCATCGATCGATGTCATTTGGTGTAATTTTGTCTTGATTCATAGCGTTGCTGATCACAAGGCAATGGAATCCAATAAAAAAGACAAAATGAGATCTTTTTTTGTATTTTGTTGTTTGCTGTAGCTACGAGGTTCGAGCGTTCCAACAGCGATGTGTGCCAGTGTTGACCAGAGTGTAAGACGAACTGGATGCTTTGTAGCTGGAATACGAACAGACCCAAAACGTAAGTTCCGTTACTTGGAAATAGAATAGAATAGAATATAATAGAATAGATTAGAAGTGTCGGCGTTGAAGAAATAGGCCCATGGCCTGTTGCCGATTCTTGAACTTTTCGTGACTTGATTCACAAGGGACCCGGCCTTTGGAACCCGATCTTTCCATAGCTGACGATTGATTGAGATAGCTGCTGGACTTATTGCCTGGTGGTCCGTAAGGTGCTAGGCATTTTAAGACTGAACATATGCTCCTGCATATGCATGTTCTCTACAGGTTTGTAATGAATGACAGTCATTGATACGGGTTCAAGGATTCAAAAATATTAACTATCACTTTATAAATTGAAAACTTTGATGATCGATTTCTCACCTACCGGTTGCAGAGTCACTGTGCGTTTGCAGATGGTTTTTCGGCAGGGCCACATATGCACATGTTATGAGAGAAGATTTCAATAAGCCTTTTAGTACCATATTATTCATGCAGGCACTCATCTTCACAACTTATTTCAGTAAAAATAAGCACGTTATTCCAGAGGTGAAGTCCAAATAAATCAGATTGGAAATAAAGTGCTGGCCTCCGTTGCTCATCGAACGGCCACGCCGCGCTACCCAGTGAAAATTTACAGACGCGGCAGCTTCTGATTTGGATTGCCAGAAGCTGGGGCGACTCTAAATTTTGTTACCCAGTGAAAATTTACAGACGCGGCAGCTTCTGATTTGGATTGCCAGAAGCTGGGGCGACTCTAAATTTTGTTAGGGTAGGAGTTCTTCCCAGTGAAAATTTACAGACGCGGCAGCTTCTGATTTGGATTACCAGAAGCTGGGGCGACTCTAAATTTTGTTAGGGTAGGAGTTATTCCCAGTGAAAATTTACAGACGCGGCAGCTTCTGATTTGGATTATCAGAAGCTGGGGCGACTCTAAATTTTGTTACCCAGTGAAAATTTACAGACGCGGCAGCTTCTGATTTGGATTATCAGAAGCTGGGGCGACTCTAATTTTTGTTGGGGAAGATAATTGCACGCTCAACTTACGCGGAGAGGGCAATATTTATCCAGTACTCATCATAAATTTATTACACAACATTATTTACGATATATTGTCTAACTGTGCCCACAGTTCGTTACTTCCATGTAACAAAGGTATATTGAGAAGTATTTCCACAGTAGCCCATCAAAATACCATTGTTACTTCATGGTACCTAATACCGTCAATTGAAAATATCCTTTTAAATGACAAAAAAAATCCGGGAAAGTTAAATCTAAAAAGGCGTTTGATTATTGGACAAATGCACACATCGAATCATATCAGTAGACAATACAGCAAATTTAGATGGAAGATGGAATTGAATTATTGTGGAAAAACTTGGACCACCAAGCACACTCCTCAATGAAAATTGTACTTGAAACGTTGATAACACAATCAAAATTTATGATCACACTTCTGTGACATGGTGGCGCAATTTGTTTGAAAATGCATATTGTTTCGCTCTTTAATTACAGATTGAACTGAATGTGTTTCTAGTTCCTTCAAGAATAACTAACATTGCTCACTATTCACAAAATAGACCTTGAACTGATCTTGTCAATCGTTGGTAAGACGAGCTAATACTAATATTAAGACATACTATTATAAAAATTCAGTCCTTGTACCAGCAGTAGTCAGTGTTAGGTAGGAGTTTTTTTAACTTCATCAAGTGAAGTGGAGGTAGTAGAAGCTTTTTTGGGAGTCGTGGTAAATAGTAGTAATATTATATAAAAAAAAACTCCTAACACCAATAGTAGGCAGTGTTATAAGAGTTTTTTGGGCTTCATCAAGTGAAATGAAGTCGAGGTAGTATAAATTTTTGGTAGTCTTGGCTCAATGATTTCACCGCCAAAAATCTGACCTGATTCAGAAGTAACTTATACTCGAAGTGTTCTACTCTATACCGTCATGTAGCTACAATCGTTATTGATTTATGGGAAGATAATTTTGTCTTGGGAATTAAAAAAACTACGAAAATTGTTCGTTTTTTCTACTGCAGATGACGCTGAAACTAACGCTACCCGGGCTGATCATGACTCTGATGATGATGGTGAAGGAAGGTGATATGGTGTGGCACTATCCATACGATTTGCTCATGACGGATAACTACATCATCACAAATCCCGACTACAGTTACGAGGTCAATAGCCTTGGTGAGTTGTCGCCGTAATATCTAAACCTTATCTCTGATAATTACCATAATCTTAATCATAAGTTTAAATAATGAATAAACTAATATCTTGAATAAAACATTATTTGTCACCACTATTAATTCATAATTAATTCTAAAAGATGTTTAGAAGAAAACATGGTCAGCTGATAATCTTGTAAAACATATCCACCAAATTCAATGCTTGATTTAAGGTATTTAATGTATAGTTTTAGATTTTCATTTAATTCAATTTCATAGTTATCATTAAAACAATAGGGTTGCTAAAAGCGAAATTTGTAGTGTGCTATTGGCAATAAGTAGGACAAAATAAGAGAAGGTACGGAATGGCCAGAAAGAAGAGGTAGAAATGGAATAGACAGTGGATTGCGGGACCGGCGCTGAGTGCATAATAATTGTCAGTTTAGTTTAGTGCACAATAATTGTTATTAGCGCATTTTCTCATTTATGGAAAAAACGCACTATTGTGCTCGCCATGTCCGTCTGTCTGTCTGTCTGTCCGTCCGTCTGTCCGTCTGTCCTCCGTCCGTGACCTCAAGTTTTCGTCGACGAGAAAATGCGCTCTCTGTCACTCACTGCAGTGAGTACTGAGTTGTATTTTTCTTTAGTTTTATTAGGCTGGGTTTGGGGGAGGAAACTCGTCAGGGCTTTGGGAGGCTCGTCGAAAGAGTGATGGTTCATTATTTACAGTATTTACATATTTGTGTTCTATCAAACAAAAATAAGAATGACTCTCCCTATGTACAAAATCAGAGAAATTTGCAGGGAAAAGAGGAAATTTCACTTGTTTTCATTTTATAAAGTTTTGTTATTTTATTTAATTTTTTTCAAAAAGATGAAATGACGGCAGGGTGATAGTGGTGGTAATGCTTATAATGTTGAAGGTGGTGGGTGAGTTATGATGGTGAGTGGTGGTTAGGTTTGGGGAGTTCTCTTATTGTGCCTGGTCATAAGTTTAATTTTTATTGCAAATCACTCTCGGTACGTGGTTATCGTAAGTCCGCTGCCGAATTCGGGACAACTGCACCTGGGCGCAATCATTCACTATCTGACAAGTAAACGAATATGGCTCGTTGTGTGTTTCGAGTTCGTAGAGTTAATGGTTACGAGTATAGGATTGGAGGTGAGAGACTTCGAGTATTTCGGAAATTTAGAGCTCATAAAAAACTGGTGCTGCCTTTCTGTGGCGTCTGTAGGCTATATGAGTGGAATAGAGAGTTGGAGGTCGTTTGTTTTAAGGGGAGCATGTCGCTCCAAATAGAGTTTTGGCTTTTCCGATCTTGAAGCTCATCTTAAAGCTGACATTCTGAGCTATCCAACGGTACCAAAACCATCTCTGTACGTTGATTTATGCGTTCAGGACAGATCCCGCTAGGGAGGGTGGTGGGGGGGGTCTTTAAGAAATAAGATTGGAGGAAATTCGCTGCCGAGCATATAAATAGAGTCTCTACTCGGACTGCAGCTCAGTCACCCTCCTGTCGTTGAACGGGGAGGTGTACATGTAGTCGCTCCCACCATCCTTGACTGGAATCGAGCTCCAGTAACGCTTAGTTTTGTATCTTTGCCACATTGAGTGCCTATGGGTACGCACACAGTGGAAGCAGGTTTGCCCGCGCGGGCAACCTGCTCCAACCTGCCACAAGAATGAACATAGGATAATAATGTAAGTGTTCACAGTGAAAACCTGTATGAATAGGCTTCTGTATTCTATGGTTTCAGGCGCCAGCCTCAGCAGATAACCAGCACGCTGGCAACCTGCTTTCACTGTGTGCGTACCCTAAGAGAGGCGCGCGGGACTTTGTCGCGCCCTCCTGAACATTTACACATTTTGTCACGGCAAAATTAATAACTCCTAGAGTTTTGAAGCTACAGCGATGAGACATATATACCATTCGATTCGTAATAAAAAGATCTAGCGACGGTCTAGTCATTTTTTTTATTCCGTTTTAGTTTGGATTATATATTGCAAAATGGGGGGGGGAATTTCTAAAATTCAAAATTTTTTAGAAAAATCATCATAACAAAAGAACCAAGAAAAAAATTGAAAATTGGCTCGATAATCGCTAGATATCGTCTTTACCAATCGAATGATATGTCTGGCAATGTTGTGGCGCGTAAATTGTATGATGCATTCATTTTTCTAAAGTACCTCATTTTCGGCCGTTTTCTATGAATTTCACGTTTTCTTTCATTTTTTTCGAAAAATTTACACGAGCAAAAAGTTCTTAGATTTCTGTTTTACATATATGTACCAAGTTTCAAAGTGATCCGTCGGTAATTAAAAAAGTTTTTCCGCGACCGACTTGCTCCCCTTAATTAATTAAAGAGGACGATGGTTTTTGCGCTTGTTAGTGGAGGGCTGTGTTGATGGCAAGGTTGTCGCACTGTTTGTGTGGGAATTTTCAAGTTATTTAGTCGGACCATTGTGTGACGAATCTTATAGTGCTTTGTTTAGAACTTTCTACAGTTAGGATATTGCTGTTTTGGATTGTGGGGTCCATGAGAGAAGATCTAACACAGTAGGGTACGTTTCATGTTGGGTGGTAGATAGCATAATTCCTATATTTTGTGTGGATTTGTGAGGCTTATTACTGAGGGTTGAAAAAGAACAGCATTCAAATGAGATAATTAAATGCTAGGAATAACAAGCAGTATATCACAGGTGAATGTCGGCGTACCTGCGTGAGTGCTGTGGCGTGAGCGGCGTACAGTTATACCTGAGGGTAGAACAATAACATTATTCAAACGATTATATCCAAATGTTAGTAATAATAAGCGGTATTTCACAGGTGAATGTCGGCGTACGTGCGTGAGTGCTGTGGCGTGTGCGGCGTACAGTTACACGCCACACCCGCAGAAGTCGTGGCTGTGGCAGTGCTTCTTCAGCAACACGACGGAGGTCCAGCGGAGCCTGGAGTACCAGCCCAATGCCACCACCTACTTCAAGGAGAGTGAGCTCTCCTAGACATTAATGCTTTATTCTTGCCGAAATATTTAGGCACTCTTGGGATCTTCCCAAGAGTGCCTAGGGATCTTCTTGGGATCTTCCATCTTGGGATCTTCCAATCTTGGGATCTTCTTGGGATCTTCTTTCACTCTTGGGATCTTCCCACAATGCCACCACCTACTTCAAGGAGAGTGAGCTCTTCTATACCTTAATGCTATACTTTTACCTAATAATTCGGCATACATTAATGCTTTATTCTTACCGAAATCGGTAAGAATACTGACACTTGGATTCTGAGTTCAACTTACTATCGGATCGCACTATTGATTAATCCCTTGTATTCTAAAATTACCGTACAATTCGGTCCGGTATTATCGTTGCAATAACCTCTTCCTGGAGGTGCCTGGTTCACTCATGTTGAACTGAAAAAATATTCGGATGTGCACAAATTTTTTACTGATATAGAAATCGCTGAGCTCATGTCGAAAGCTTTATCACGAAATGGACTTAATTCCTAACTCTAAAATTCAAATAAAATTTCCTTTCTGGGTCCTGCTCCCTCTAAATATTCACCTTTGTACTAACAGGGAAGCCCAAGAAGTACGTTGTCACCAACGCGACATACGCCCAGCCAAACGTGACGACTTTCTGGGAGGCTTGCGGCAAGATGGGTGCCCTGCCTGGCCTCATCCTTTCCTACCAGGACTGGCAGAATGTACCTTTTCCTGGTAAATAATTCTAGAGCAATTATTATCACTAAGAATTTAAACCCTATTTTTGTAATTGTATGCTTCATTTGTGGTTCCTTATTCAAGGTTTCAATAGTTCCACGCATCAAATATAAAAAAGCGAGTTTGTCACTATTTTGAGCTACAATTCGTCTTTTTATTATGAAACCTACATCAACAATTTAATTCTAGAAATTAATGGTAAACATGAATCGGCCTACCTGCTATGTCATTAGTAAGTAGAATGTCAGCGTACGACTGAGCGTAAGAAGTCCTAGTCAGCTTTATCTGTCGTTTTATGTCTTTATCCAACCCAACTAAAATCTATTCAATTCAACATTCTCTTCTGATCCTGGATCATTTTCGGTTTTAAGTACAAGATTCTGAATATTGATATTTTGTTTATTCCTCAGCCACCGGTTACCTCTACATCCCTCTGATGCGCTCGACTTACGGAGTTCGACGCTGGATGAACCACTCGCACTTTCTGGACGACGACGGCCCGTTGCCCTACGTTACCAACGGGTACTACTATACAGTCCATGTCATCACGAGTACTAGGCAGATACACGGAACGGACCCCGGCTACCCTTACAAGATCCTCTGCTTCATGTACTGAGTGAGTCTTCAGCGGCACAAACCCCAGGGGCCTAAACAAGAGCGACGTTACCAACCTTCCTGAAGCACAAGTTGACTGGGGTTCCAAACCCCAGTCACCTATAAACGGCCAAATCATGCGCAATGCGCCTTTTCATCTCCTACTGTCTTTTCCATTTCACCTTTCTCCATCTGCCCACTTTGCGCCACCTCTTGTTCTTTTCCACTCTTTCCTAGTGGCACCGCGACAAGAAGCACAAACTCCAGCGTCCTAAACAGCAGGGATGGCTAATTCGTCAGTGTCGCCTATTGAATGAAGATACTCGGGGCGGAAGACTCCCAGTCAAACGAAATGCACTGCTTCAATTGCAACGAGTCTTTAACAGCTGGAAATAACTTGGCCTCGAAGGAATAATTATTGATATATCGTAAATACATGCACACTACTTGACTATCTGCTGCACTTTTCTGCCATGAGTGTAAATTGCGTGATGGATATTCAGTTTTTTCACATATGTAGACAATTTTTTCTTTAATGATCACTAATTACACTATTTAAAATAAGTTTAGTCCACTATTTCAATTCGTTTAAGGTTTTAGATAATTTCCCGCAGACATTTTCCATACTGCCCAAAATAACCCGCCATGTCTGAGGAATGATTAGAGGACCACATGCCAGAACAACATCCACCAATATTATGAAACAAATAGTGTTGCTTGATCGTCTCCTGATGGAACATCTAAGAGAAACGCTTCAACCACTTTTGTTTCCCCATCAACTCGAACGCACCATCATAGGACATCAGCTTTAAGAATACCGGAGAAACTTTCTCACGAAATAACGAAATTAAAGAAGAAGGACATCAGCTGAAAAGAATTCAAAATTTACCTAATTTTCTTCAAACGAAAAGGTTGAAGTTCGACCGCCTCAGAGACATTTGCAGGGAAAAGGGGGAATTTCATCAAGGGCGTCCATAAGCTGCATATTCATCACTACTTTCGGTCCCGTACATGCCGAATTAAAATTTTCATACCTGGCATTTCTGGCACAGTGACGCCGTAGGCACTCACAGCACTTAAATTAGCCGCTCTATGTCCGCGTTTCGTTTTGTTTCGGCGAGTGAAATAAACGACGTACATGCACTTGAAGGAGTCCTTGCGGTCGCAGAGCGTTCAAAAGGGCATGCGTATATTTGAGTAAAGCTTCTAATTTGAGCGCATGATATAAACATTATTCTGGCAAGCAATAACTAAATTAGTTAAAATCGCCCTTATAAAATTGGAGCTGTGAATAATAATAATAATTGGCCACCATACGCCTGTTATTATGTTCATCAGGATTAAGAAGGAAACTTTATTGCCATGGATGCTACAATCAAATCCCCGCTGCAGAGCAGGACTCGTAAATTCTTGTGGTGCTCCCCTCTTAAAGCCCCAATCTGGTAAATCCCGCAGAGGGCGGCCTAGCAAATCCCCAAAGTCTTGTGCTGCACGACACTGTCTTGTGCTGCACGACACTGTCTTGTGCTGCACGACACTGTCCTGTGCTGCACGACACTGTCTTGTGCTGCACGACACTGTCTTGTACTGCACGACACTGTCTTGTACTGCACGACACTGTCTTGTACTGCATGACACTGTCTTGTGCTGCACGACACTGTCTTGTGCTGCACGACACTTTTTTGTGCTGCACGATACAGCCTTGTGCTGCACGACACTGTCTTGTGCTGCACGACACTGTCTTGTGCTGCATGACACTGTCCTGTGCTGCACGACACTGTCTTGTGCTGCATGACACTGTCTTTTGCTGCACGACACCGTCTTGTGCTGCATCACAGTTTAGATGTCTGACAATTTCATTCAAGTTAAACGTGAAAATAAAAATATTTTTATGAGGCATCTGTAACGCATCATCTAATAAAAATGTGCGTTAAATCTGCCCCTGACAGAATTGAGACTCGAGTGTACAATCAAAGCTGAACTTTCGATCAACGTAAGAGTATTCGAGAATGCAACCAGAACAGGGCCTATACTTTCAAAATTCGCTAAGTGAACGTAAGTACTTACGCTCTATTTTCTTGTCTACGATTGGTGGACTTTGCTCGAAAGGCCGTCAATGATTGGCTGATGAACTTACGAACTCTTAACTCATTTTGAAAGTATAGGCCCTGAACGATAAGATTTATAAATCCATAAATAACGCATGGCTTTGTGGCAAAGAAATATCGCGCAATTACGACCATCTTAAAGACCGCGACCTCCCGCTCCGGGCTGAACATTTCTAAGGCAATAAAGCCGATTTATGATTTTAAAAAGTTTAATGGGACTTTATCTGTAACCCAAGCCGGGTCTGTGTTTTATTGAAGTAGGGCCGTCATCAATTTCAGGAATGCGGTAAGAATAACAACTGCAGCTTCCTAACTCTACCCTAACAAAATTTAGAGTCGCCCCAGCTTCTGGTAGTCCAAATCAGAAGCTGCCGCGTCTGTAAATTTTCACTGGGAAGAACTCCTACCCTAACAAAATTTAGAGTCGCCCCAGCTTCTGGCAATCCAAATCAGAAGCTGCCGCGTCTGTAAATTTTCACTGGGNAGCTGAGAGGAGGGGAGTTTACCCTTGCAACATTCAAGAGACAACTGGACAAGTGGTTGAGCAAGATCCCGGACTGTCCAGTTATGGGAAACTACCATCAGCAAGCGACAAGCAACAGCATCTTGCATCAGCGTGCCCAAATGAGGGCTAATAGACGGAACACGTCCAACGTTACATCCGACGACGACTCGGAGACGGAGGACGACGAAGGCGGCGCATCAGCGTGACCGTGGACTGCGACGTCCTAAACTCATCATAAGGTAAGGTCATAAGGTCATAAGGCAAGTCCTACGAAGAAAGATTAGAGATTAAGAGCTACCAAGCCTCTGTTATTGACGTCTGCGTGGGGACCTCATTGAAGTATACTGGTATACTCATGGTTTATACAAGGGCCCAGAAGGATTCCTAGAATTTGAAACAAGACCCAACACCAGGGGCCACGGCTATAAACTGAAAAAACTGTGCTGCAACTTATCTTCTCGCTGCGAATCACCGACATTTGGAACAGCCTCCCGGATTACATCGTTGGCACTCCGAGTATGAACGCGTTCAAGCGCTTTATCCCACGGGCCGTGGCCCGTGGGATAAAGCTATGGAAAAAAATATTCAGATATGAAATGCCTAGCGCCATATCAAACCCGGTGGAAGTCTGGTAGCTATTTCAAACTATCGCCAGTCAAGAAAAATTCCGGTCAAATGACACGATTTAGATTTTCTGTGAACATGTCACGAAAAGTGCAAGAATCGACGACAGGCCACATCAGGCCTACTCTTTAGCGTCGACATCACTATGTTATGCTGTTGTTTTGTCTGCTTCTTGAGGAAGTGGAATCGTCCACCGTACACCTTACGGCTCAAAATGGCTCCCTCGTCTGGCAAGCCGTTCTGTAATAATTAAAGCCATTAGGCAACATATCTGTGTCTCATGAGAGTTAAATTGTGCTCCTGATTAGTCTACGGCTAGTAACCCGTACCTAGAACTAAACTTGTCATTTGGACGCAAGGTATCATAGGGCCCAATAGTCCAGGCTGGGCTGGCGTGCCTGGAGCATTCAATTTATTGTCAGGGAGAAGTGACTAGAGATTTACGAGCATACCACGGACCCTACTACTCTACTCTACCACTACCAAGGTCTGGGTATGGGGGCAACAGAATACTTTTTTGGTCCAAAGACTTTTCTAAAGGACAGTGAGACAACCTCCAGCAACTCTCCCTTACAGGTGATGCGCTTACATTCCTATGTACATTTGCAGGAGAGGTGCTTGCGGTTTATGGCCATTAGGTCTCTTTTTGAAGTTCTGCATCTAGGTTATTGGTTATCAATATGTTATGTTATAGTAATAATCTATCACAGCGTCAGCTGATCAAATTACGGAATCACACGATTCTCCGCCGCATTCGTTCGATCCATTGTTCACCAGGTGTTCTGCACTTAAGAGTCTTCAGCTCCCACCTTTTAAGTGTAACCCATGTCGCTGCCCCCTCTTGTATTCGTTCCCCTCTCACATTTCGTGTTGATAAAGGGCGTAGTGTATTGAAATTGATTACCATTTCAGAAATATGATGCATTGGCTAGCAAGCTGCTTATGTAACTTTTAATCTTTGTAAGGGAAGGTATGATTACGTAACAGTCAACAGACAGACTCTGGTCGTAAATAATCATTACAATGAAATGAGCTGCGTCACTTCTCCCTCAGTGAAATTCTCAGGAGTCAGGATCATCTCTTGATTCTCATTTCACTTGCCATGATTTGATTATCTCATCACTCACTCATTATTAGGCTCTGCAAATAGGCTATGGCTATGAATAGGCTATGTCGCTATGATACATGCTAATTCAATATTGTGTATGTGTGGTTTCTCTAGTCCCTTCACAGGCTAACAGGCTTCACTATCATTCAAAGTTCAATCCTGAACAAACCACAGCCACAGCACATTTGCCACTTTGGTTTGGTCTTTGGTAAATTGGTACCAGACGCCAGACGGCAGACTGGCTGATGCTGAGTGCTGACTGCCAGTCTGCCACCTGCTGTCCTGCCAGAAGGCAGAAGCCAGATTCACTTTCCTTATCAACTAATAATTAAGCTAGTCAACAAGATAATGCATAAAAAATTCCTGTATCTTGGTAACCAACTTATCTGACTAACAGACTATCAGAGTATCAGACTAAGTACTAACTGGGTTATAACCCAATGACCCATTGAATGTAGGCTGTGGCCGACTGGCCGTGGGTAAACTTTTCCATTGGGAGAAAATGTTGGGGATTGGGGTTTGGGAGTTAGGACAATTATTTGTATTTGTTAATCTGTTGAAATTATGAAGGATATATTACTATATAAATGCATTATGTCATCTTTTTCTTGAGTAGTAATCTGTAGTATGGCTAAAATACCAAATTAAAGTGCTAAACCTTAAACCTATATATTATACCTATGCTGGATAACTGGTCTTGGAAATGTCTCTTGATTACGTATTCTGTAGCTGTGTATGTACTATGTTAGTATGTACTAGCCTGACCGAGGCTGACCCTAACAAGGTAGTTTGCATCTATTTGTTTTGTTGATGAATTTGTATTGTTGAAAACTTGAGGCAGTTTAGGGCAATAACAAATACTGTATGACTACTGACTAGACTAAAGATCTGTGTGGAACTTGAAGATCAATGTGCAATATTTGCACATTTTTTGTAGTATGATATCTGAGAGGTAATGAGCTTAGATGCTACTACTCAGCAGCTTGTTCTGGAATGATTTCCATTCTCCCTCTTGTTGCCCTAGCTCTTCATTTCCTATATATGCCCTATGTTCTCTGGGCATAGAGTCAGAAATGTGGGTAATTTTTATCCTAAGACTGTAGGAGGATAAGAGTTAAATGTTATTTTCATGCATGTTATTGACCTGAAAATTAGTTATTTTAATATTAATTATTGTAATATGTACAGTTTGTGGGGTACACTTATACCTATACAACTTGATAAATTGAAAATATTGTGCAGAATCTAGAACTACATTTATATACCTAATTATATTTGAATTCTTATTATTTGAACAGTTTGTTTCTTAGGTATAGTTATGGAAATTACTTCTGAAAAATCTGACATCTGAAGTATGAAGAGCTTTCCTTGGCAACAATTCTATACAAGGTTGGAAATTGACTTTTACAAGGAGTGTAAAACCAGGAGCCTGATGTTTCATAAAGAATTGAAGCTATTGCCAAGCACCTCATAAAAAATGCTGTCACAATTGGCTTACTCTGCTGTTGGAAAACATCAGCGACTGGCAAGATTCTTTTACCAGCAGCTTGCTTACTTCAGTATTTCACCTTACAGGTCAGGGTTACTTTCTGTAGTTTTTAGCACATTTTCTCATTTGTGGAAAAAAGGGGCTATTGTGCTTGCCATGTCCGTCTGTCTGTCTGCCCGTCCGTAACTTCACATTTTCATCAATGAGAAAATGCACTTTGTCACTTACTGCAGTGAGTACTGAGTTATATTTTTTCTATGAGTATTTCATGCTGCTTTTGAAACTAAGTGTTCATTTCAGTGTTAGTTTCTCATGTGTTCTTTTTAGGGTTCATACTTCTGTGTTTTTTATAAGCAAATTTGCTTACTTATGCTAATTTGCTTATTTCTCTCTGCCAGGTCTCTAACATATTTGCTTGTCTCTCTGCCATGTCTCTTACACATTTCCTTGTCTCTCTGCCATGTCTCTTACACATTTCCTCGTCTCTGCCATGTTTCTTACACATTTCCTTGTCTCTGCCATGTCTGTTACACCTTTCCTTGTCTCTCTGGCAGGTCTCTCACTCATTACGAGTTGCTGGGTTTGCAGAAGGATTGCTCGCAGACTGATGTGAGAGATGCCTTCGTGCGGCTGTCAAAGGAGGTGCGGTTTAAACTTTTATATCTATATTACATATTATATATATTATATATATAATATAATATAGATATACCATATATAGATATAATATATATATATATATATATATATATATCATATTATATCTAGATTATATCTGAGTATATAAATGTCTGTGAAGTTGTATCTATTTGCCTACTCTGCATGCTACTGGTGGATGTTGAACTTATGATGGTGGTTAAATCAAGTTGATATTTCCCTAATTGTCTTGGGTTAAATTGCATGCTTGAAGAACATAATATATGCCTACAACTTTGTTTTCAATTGCATGTCCAGTGGCATCCAGACAAACAGTCTCAAGATGTTGCTGAGAGTCAACACAACAAGTTTATTGAGCTGAACACAGCTTACTCTGTGCTCAGCAAACCTCAGAGTCGGGCGTTTTATGACGCGCAACTGCGAGCGTCAGAGCGAGGCTACTATGAAGTCTATGGCAGCTATAGAGTGTACACGGACGCCCCTAAGGAGAGAGTGTAAGTACGAGAAACTTATGGTCCTTAGGTTCTCATGATGGGTTTAAGACTTCGTAGTCCAAGGTCAAAGAGAGTGTAAGTACGAGAAACATATGGTCCTTAAGTCTTTATGAGGAGTTTAGGATTTCGTAGTTCAAGGTCATGCTGATGCTCCGCCTTCGTCGTCCTCCGTCTCCGAGTCGTCGTTAGGCATATGGTCCTTAGGTCCTTATGATGGGTTTAAGATTTCGTAGTCCAAGGTCACGCTGATGCGCCGCCTTCGTCGTCCTCCGTCTCCGAGTCGTTTAAACTTATGGTCCTTAGGTCCTTATGATGGGTTTAGGACTTACTAGTCCAAGGGCAAGCTGATGCTCCGCCTTTGTCGTCCTCCGTCTCCGAGTCGTCGCTAGGCAGGTCCCCCCACCCTCGGGTCCCGGATGTAACGTTGGACGTGTTCCGTCTATTTGCCCTCCTTTGTGCCAGCTGATGCAAGATGCTCTTGCGAAAAACTTAATTCAGGGGTAGAAGTTATCGCGCAGTTTCTTCATTTGTTTGGTATCCTTGTAGGTACCGTTTTTAGCAGCTTACGAAGTGTTGTCAATCATTTCGCATTGCATTGTTGTGATGAACATTGAGATAACATATTGTACGACCCAAGTTATGTATGGAACTGAGCTGCATTAATTCCGTCAATATCAATTAACCTTTTCGCGGGCAAGCTTAGAAATATGCCGAAATTCGAATTTCTAAAGCCAGCAATACCTACTCTCACTGTGCTAAAAATGATCATGATTTAAATTTAATCATTGAAATGTAAAGGAAAAATGTAACTTCAAATTAATTCATTTCATCAAGTTTCTTTAATCAATTTACTGGATATTACTACTTCTGTGTTTAAGAAATAATATAGAACGAGTGCCAATTTTGTTATCTTTCGAGTCAAAACTTTCATTTTAATGCTCATATTTTATTTCTTGGGCTTGGTATATGGTGATGCTTGGATGGAACAATATTATTATTGATCCAACAATAATAATAACAATATTATTATTGTTCCATCAATTATTAATTATTAATATTGCTGATTATTAGTTATTGGCGGAGGAACGTGCTGGGCATTTTTTGGAATTAGATTTTGAGTGAGTTAGAGAGTGGGTAACGTGCCGCTACAGGGTTAAATTATCACTAATTATTCGAATTGCCCAATATACTCGTTGAATGAAGATGTTCATTGCTTGAGAAACGTGTTGGGATCATGTAGACCAGCCCGATGAATACGAATTGAGATGTCCTAACTGGGAATCAACGGTACGGTAATGGTGATGTTAGGAACATTAATGGTAGTACCTAGTGTTACACAGCTCGCTTGTCAGTCTCATTAATGGACATTGCGATTAGATCACTAAACAATTCATGCAGGCCGTTAATAATGTCAAACAATTTATTCTTCACTATATTTACACTGAAATAATGTCAGATCTACGCTTGTGGTATGAATATGAAGCGACGGCTAAAAACTTCAATCATCGGGAACATTTTTCCAGCCTCCCAACATTATTCTTCACTGCTATAAATATTTCAGTATCATGTGCTTGAAACGGTCAGTTTCCGGGAATTTCCCGTTTTTTTATCGATAAATTTTATAACATAACAATGTTATCGTTATAAAAATTTGAGAATCACCATAAAAAGACCAGACTTTGCTTTGCCATTTCATGCGAGATGAATTTCTCGATCACTCATGTGTTAAAAATTTAAAGAATCACCATAACAAGACCAGACTTTGCCTTTCCATTTCATGTGAGATGAATTTCTCGATCACTTAGGTATGTGTTAAAAATTTAAGAATCATCGTAACAAGACCAGACTTTGCGTTGCCATTTATTGTGTCGTTATAAATTTTTTAAAGAATCACCATAGCAACACCAGACTTTGCCATTTCATGTGATATGAATTTCGCGTACACTCATGTGTTGAAAATTTAAGAATCAACATAACAAGACCAGACTTTGCCTTGCCATTTATTTTGATATGAATTTCTTGTGCACTCATTTTTTGGTCGACGGTATCGTTTACATCGTGCAGGGTTCACAGGCATCCTTCGTCTTATGAAAACCACGAAGGAGGCAACGACACGGGCCGCGGCTACTACGGCCTGTCTTTTATCAAAGAAAAACTCCCCAACTCGACGGTTGTGTCTATTGTGCTGGCCTTCTTTTTCGTCGGCTGTGTCGCCCATTTCTACATCGCACAGTGAGATCTATTTTCTTNATGAGATGTACAACTTTTAATCACCTGTTCCTCATGCACCTGCCTGACGCTAGTCTCGTGTACAACTGAGATGTACAAATTTTAATCACCTGTTCCTCATGCACCTGCCTGACGCGAGTCTCGTGTACAACTGAGATGTACAACTTTTAATCACCTGTTCCTCATGCACCTGCCTGACGCTAGTCTCGTGTACAACTGAGATGTACAAATTTTAATCACCTGTTCCTCATGCACCTGCCTGACGCGAGTCTCGTGTACAACTGAGATGTACAACTTTAAATCACCCGCCCATACTTTCAAAAAAGTTAAGATATCGTAAGTTCATCAGCCAATCATTGATGGCCTTTCAAGCTAAATCCACCAATCATAGACAAGAAAATAGAGCGTAAGTACTTACGTTCACTTAGCGAATTTTGAAAGTATGGCCCCTGTTCCTCGTGCACCTGCCTGACGCGAGTCTCGTGTTTTGTTCCCCAGAGTTACAAGCAATTACTACAAGAACGCGGCCGAGCGCCGCAGCCGTGTCCTCGCCCAGAGCTACAGTGAGGTCCGAAAGCGCGCCCTCGACAGCGACAGACATGCTCAGCTGCGCGACTTTCAGCAGGAGCTCGACCAGCAGACGGGCACTTCCCTCAGCAACGAGCAGATGCACCTACGCAACAAGAAGTTCCTACAGTCCTTGACTGAGACCGCGACCTGAGGACGCATGGGGGTCGGACTTCTGGACCAGAAGTCCTGGGCCTATACTTTAAAAAAAAAATTAGGAGATCGTAAGTTCGTCAGCCAATCATTGACGGCCTTTCAAGCAAAATCCACCAATCGTATACAAGAAAATAGAGCGTAAGTACTTACGCTCACTTAGCGAATTTTGAAAGCATAGGCCCTGGCCTCAAGACTTGGACCTTAATAAATTTACCCTAAAACGTCGATCTTGAGATTTTGATCTTGGTATTTCATACTATTGGCCTTGATTGTTAAGACATGGTTCTTCTTCGACCTCGGGATTTGGTTTGTGAGACTTGGGACTTGGATCCCGACGATTCGGATTTTTGGACTTCGAATTTTTGTCGTTATTCTGAGGTTCTTTAAATTAGCAGCCAGAAGCTTGCATGCGAATCACGATGAAGTTAGTATGGAAAGACATTAATCGGCAATCTATAAATGTGTGTCGCGGAATGGAATGTACAAGCTGTTCAATGGGACGTTGAAGCTGCTCTGAGTTTCTAACTTTGTGCGGGAGTTGGTACGTGTCGAGGAGAGATGTAGGAGTTAGTCGACCGGGAGCTCGTCATGAAACTTCAGTACCTATCGTGAAGCATCTGTAGAGTAGGAATTAAAGTATCTTCTGAAATAGTCATGAAATTATAAGTTGTCTTAACGAATGAACGGGTAGGCAGGGTTGGCGATTTTTTTGATTTTTTTAAAAAAATCAAAAAAATCAAAAATCAATGATTTATTTGATTTTTTCATGATTTTTTTTATTTATTTGATTTTTTTGATTTTTTCAACTTTTTTGTCTATTCGAAGTGTTATTTTTTTATGTTGCAGTTAGCCTACTAACAATAACAGTATATGGATCATAATGGATGGCTAAAAAGGGCACTTATTGTCTTCAATAATGGCCAACAGGCCATGGTGGTGTTTACCACTTAGGGATTTTTGGGTAAACAATTATTGGTAAGTCTATTCATTAGCTTTGTAAAGTTTGTATGGAGCAAGGTAATGAGTTAAATTTTGACCAATTAACTGGCTTCAATATACAAAAACACTTCAGGAATGCAGATCTTCTAAACATTGAAGAGTCACATAACAGATAGGTAGCTGATAGCACAGTGCACAGCACTATCAATAGATCTACTAGTTTTATGTCCTATAAATCTACCAGACTCTACCCTCTATACACACCGACTAGTAGTGACTGTTGCCCCAAAACTGTTCAATCAGTTCTGCCCCACCCTGTATAAGTTAGCTAACACATTTAAATTGTATATTGTAATCAATATATAACAAATAGTCAAATAGTTAAAGACTACTTATAGCCCTATAAGAATTAGCTAAGCTGCTAGCTACGTACAATGTACTGCACACTTGATGCCTCTGTACCAAAAACATTCAATTTATTTGAGCCTAATACACACTAAAGGCAACAAGTTTATATACCAATTTGTCATTCATAGTACATTTATGCTAAACCATGAATAACAATACCTCAATATAAATTAAAGACTGCCACTCAATATATTTAAATATATGAAAAAATCAAATAAATCAAAAAAATCGAAACAATCAAAAAAATCATGATTTTTTTATAAAAAAATCAAGTGATTTAATCACATGATTTAATCATTTTGATTTAATCATTGCCAACCCTGCGGGTAGGTAATAATAAAGTCATAATTTACTTTTTCCTGGGAATTATATCTTTTCGTTTTCGAAAGTGGATAATGTGATGTGTATTGCGAACTTCTGGAATAGATTGTGTTCATTATTACCGTGTATGTGAATTTGTTGCTGAAATCCCATAAAAACTCGCCTGAGACTCAGATTATTCGGGTTATGTTTTAGACAAGATAATGGAGGTGCCGGTCAAAGGGCTGGTGAATTCTTCGGTTGTTGGCGGCCACCTTAGCAATAGCAGGACTCAAAAGTGGGCTACTCAGTTTGTGTAATTTTCTTACTCATTACTTTATTTTATTTTCGGCAGGGTTTCAGAGTGGCTGAAGTTCAGATTACCAAGAAAGGTGGAGCTATTGTAACTTAGTTGTGAACAGTTTCCTGTGACAGTTGTGGTGAAAATCTGTGAGGTGGCCGGGTGGTTTAGAACAGCAACGTTGTAGCAGTGAGTTGTGGGTTCAAACCTCAGCAAGCTGCGAGTTTTCTTCGATGTCAAGAATCGGCGACTGGCCATATTTTTCTTAATGATCGCTGACACCACTATTACCTTTGCTCTTTTTACTATTAGCTGATCATTAACGCTGTTGCCACATTTTAATCTTAAATTATTTTTTTATATGTCCTCGGATGTTATTTTCTAAAACTTCCAAAATCTTTTACTTCAAATTAAAAAAAAACTGTTAAAATTAAATTAAATTGTTGTTAAGATAGTGGCGAACATTCTTTATTAAATACAGAAGGTAATATTATATTAATATCTAGCTTGCCTCCTTTCATGTAGAGGCGCTGAGCGCATCGAAGCAAATTGTAGCTAAATAATTTTATTGTAAATAAGATATATGCGAATTTAAATTTGTTGAATAAAATTTAACTACGATGATGCATCCTGAGATTTTATTGCCTTGCTTAATTTCTAAAAAAAAGATTCATTAAAAAAAAAAAGCATTCACGTTATCGAATTATATGTTTTTTAAGGGGATGGTCAACGAAGGGAGGGCCTCGTAAGGGGAGGCTTCCCTTGAGACGGTTAAAGGGAGTGACATCTGAGAGAATTTTGCGATCGTTTAATGGATATAACCTTTAGAAGGGAGTTGAGGGAATGAAGCCGTAGGAAATCGACACCTGAGGGCTGTCAAATTTCGGCAGCGTCTCTGAGGGATTTAATGGGAGTGACCTCACATGAAATTTGGAATGGTCAGAGGTGAGTCCCTTCAGAAGGGCATTAGAGCAGGCCATGGTTGAACTAGAATAAGGTTGACCCATGAGAAGCTCATTTTCGCGGATGTAGTTTGTTGTTCGCCTGTGACGTCACAGATCTAAGTGATGTCACGGGCGTTAACCAATCACCGAAATGCGATCAAACCAGTCAACCAATCCGTCATGAGAATGACGGGATTGTTTACATTTCTCGATCTCAGTGACGTAACAAGAAAGCTGAACTGAAACGCGGAACTTTTCGTGGGTCAACCTTATATAGTTCAACCATTAGAGCAGGCAGCTCTGGAGTAAGTTGTGACGAAAGGAACCCGAAGCGGCCGGTGCGAACACCCTCTGTATATACAGAGGGTGATCGTAGAGGGTATATACACAAGTCCCCTTTGTGTGTGCTGCACCCATATGCACACAGTACGTGCTGTGTTGTTATACAGTGAAAGCTGTGGCCAGTGTTGCACTGACACAGCTATACGCCAGGGCCTATACTCTCAAAAAAAGTTAAAAGATCGTAAGTTCATCAGCCAATCATTGACGGCCTTTTGAGCTAAATCCACCAATCATGGACAAGAAAATAGAGCATAAGTACTTACGTTTACTTAGCGAGTTTTGAAAGTATGGCCCCAGGGAGACAAGGCGGCAAAAATTCTGGACTTGTCTCAAATGAGTTGAATCTGCGTTTGTAATACCTGATGAATGGGTTGCGAATATGAAATACTTTCATGTTACAGGTATAGTTAACGCGTTTTCAATAATAATTAAAGTCTATTTTCAAACCAATCTAGCAATGGAAATAAAGAATATATAAGTTTGGCTAAAACATTAAGCTGAATTCATCAGACGAGAAGCGCTGCAAAAAGGTTCTTCAGTAAAACATTTCCCGGATTGTGGAGGGCGCGAGCTAAACTATTCATATATTCTTCTCAGTGGCAGATTTAAGCCTGCGCCTAATATGCTTACTTCTCTTCGTTTCTGGAGTGCGCGAATTTTTTTATTCTTTAAAGCCTCGCAAGGAAGAATTCATTTGCCGGCGCTAATGAAACGAAAGCCTAAGACAGTTCACGGCCTTCAGCGAGTCTATCTCTTACGGAGGTGGCAAACAACGATATTTTTTGGGGAGGCCGCGAGCGTGCCGAGCTTTGGTCTTATTTCTAATCATCTTAGTGGCCCCTAGAGCTTTTTAAGCCCTCATTTGGCTTCGTTGGGGCGGCTGCGTCTACTTAAAAGCACGTTCTTCTACCGTCGCCTTCCCATTATTGGTCGGCTAGGCTGGACGGGAGTTTAGTTCCACCTTCCGTAAATGCTTGTCATTACACAATGATTGATTTCTTCGTTATTATTTCATAATAAAGATGTTGTATTGGACGGCGTGGCTTGATGGGAGTTTAGTTCCACCTCCCGTAAATGCTTGTCATTACACAATGATTGATTTCTTTATTATTATTATTTCATAATAAATATGTTGCATTGGACGGTGTGGCTTGACGGGAGTTTAGTTCCACCTTCCGTAAATGCTTGTGATTACACAATGATTGATTTCTTCGTTATTATTTCATAATAAAAATGTTGCATTGGACGGCGTGGCTTGATGTGAGTTTAGTTCCACCTTCCGTAAATGCTTGTGATTACACAATGATTGATTTTTCGTTATTATTTCATAATAAAGATGTTGCATTGGACGGCGTGGCTTGATGGGAGTTTAGTTCCACCTCCCGTAAATGCTTGTCATTACACAATGATTGATTTCTTATATTATTATTATTTCATAATAAAGATGTTGCATTGGACGGCGTGGCTTGTCGGGAGTTTAGTTCCGCCTTCCGTAAATGCTTGTCATTACACAATGATTGATTTCTTCGTTATTATTTCATAATAAAGATGTTGCCGAAGGATTAAACAAAGTTCAAAGGTTTTTTTCCTTTAAACTGGATTGCTGTTTGGCTCTTCTGTTATTGCTGGATTATGCAGGGGACGCTATTAGCTTTAAATGCCTAGCAAATTACGGACCAGGCAATAAGTCCAGCAGCTATCCCAATCAATCGTCAGTTATGGAGAGATCGGGTTCCAAAGGACGGATCCTTTGTGAATCAAGTCACAAAAAATTCATGAATCGGCAACAGGCCATGGGCCTATTTCTTCAACGCCGACACTTCTATTCTATGCTATT